CTGTGGGAGTACGCAGCGAAGGTTCTGGGGTTGGACTCCCCAGGTTCCAATCTCAGTCCAGCCACCTCCTTGTGGTGCAACCTGGTGCTACTTCCTTAATCTCTCACCACTCGGCTTTGTGCTGCTGAGACTGTACGGTGGCCTGGATGCAAAAGAGAGGTTGTTCCTAGAGTTAAGTGCGGAGGTACCACAGGATCCCAAGATTCCACACATAGGTATTTTCCCAGAAAGATTGTATTCAAATAGACATTTGTACATGAAATGTTCATGGCGAAAGTGTTCACAATAGCTCAAAAGAGGAGCCAGCCCTAAAGTCCATCCATGGACTTTAGGTGACCCTCCGTACAATGGAATATGATTCAGCCAGAAAAAAAAGAATAAGTGTTGACCTGTGCTATGACCTGGAAGACTTCATGTTAAGTGAAAGGAGCCAGACTCAGAAAGTCGCATAGAACACAGCACCACCACATGTACACAAATTTCAGCACAGATGGAAGGCAGGTGAGCAGTTGAGGGGCTGGCGGGAGGAAAGACAGGAAGTGAGTGTGAGGTTTTCTTGGGGTGACCCGGATGTTCTTGGAACCAGACAGAGATGCTGGTTGTACAACATTGTCAATGTACTAAATGCCATGGGCTGGTGTGCTTGATTATTATTATTAATTTTTGTAGAACCAGGGATTGAACTCAGGCCCTTGCGCTTGCCAGGGAAGCACTTATTCTACTGAGCCATCTCCCCTGGCCCCTGTTTGATTAATTTTATGTTACATGAATTTTAGTTCAATTAAAAAAAGAAAAAAGACAACAGGTCTTGTCTTGCGAGTCTAATGCAAGAAGGAGACAAGCAAGAGTCCAGTTCACAGGAAGGGCTGAGCCCACCAGTGCTCTTGTGGCTGTCATGTTGTCATGAGGTTTATAATCTTAGCCAGGTTACCCAAGTCAGCTTCGTCTCTGAGAAGAGAGACACTGGCAGCATCTATGCTCAGAGAATTGATGAGGTTAAACGAGACAGTGTTGTGGTGGGCTATCAAGACCATGAGACGGGGATTTCTGTCTCCTTTGTTCATGGACATATCCCTGATAACTTCATTAGAGCCTGCCCAGTGCTGGCATTCTGCAAATAGTTCCTGAATAAACAACACTGCCTAGCATGCTGCCTGACTCCTGGTGACTGCTTAGTTGTGAAGTGCTATTCCTTGGGCCACGACAGTTCTTTGAGAATCCCTAGGTGATCTTCCCTTGCAGAGAAGAGAAAGCTACTTTGCTTGTAGATTTCTTTTTATGACTGACTTATTTGGACACCTGTTATATGCAAGAGGTTTGGGCTGAGTGGAGAGTGGACCGTAAGCTCCCACTGTTGCTATAAGAAGAGGTGGTGAGGGTTAGCATGTATAGATGGCACCCATGTGTCCATTCACTCATACTTCCCTTCCTTGGTTTTTCTATCTACCCACTCAGCTCCTTCTCTCTCTCCTCCCTCCCTTCATCATCCATCCATCCACTCATCCATCCATCCATCCATCCATCCATCCATCCATCCATCCATCCACACATCCATCCACCTACCAAACCATCCATCTATCCATCTATCCACACATCTGTCCATCCATCCATTCATCCACCCACCCATCCACCTACCAAACCATCCATCTATCCATCTATCCATCTATCCACACATCCATCCATCCGTCCACCTACCCACCCATCCATCTACCAAGCCATCCATCCACCCAACAACCATCCATCCATCCTTCCATCCATCCATCAATCCATCCACCCATCCATCCACACATCCACCCACCCACCCATCTGTCCATCCATCCATCCATCCACACATCTATCTATCCATCCATCCATCCATCCATCCATCCATCCATCCATCCATCCATTCATCCACTCACCCATCCACCCACCAATCCATCCATTTATCCATCTATCCACACATCCATCCATCTGTCCATCCATCCATCCATCCATCCATCCATCCATCCATCCATCTACCCACCCATCCACCTACCAAGCCATTCATCCACCCAACAACCATCCATCCATCCATCCATCCATCCATCCATCCATCCATCCATCCATCCCATCTACCCCTCTCCCTGTGCAGCCATCTATACACTCACCCAGGTATCAACACATCCATCCACTGATCTTCCCATCCAACCACCTAATTCATCCATGTAGGGATGTATACACCCATTTGTTCATATATATATCTCCACTCAATACACATACACAGATACAATGAATGCTTCTAAATACAGAACAGATACTGGTGATTCCTCAACATACAAGCTAGATGCACTCACTTCCAGGATGGAGGAGTTAAGTTGGAAAGAATTGAGGTGAAGCCACTGACAGGGTAATCAGATTAGTTTTTACTTTAAAAAATG